CGTTATATCGACTTCATTGAAAACTACATCACGACTTGTGATACATCTTCTGTGACCTGATTCTAAACACCACAACCTATAACATTTGACTCCCTTAGGATATCCAATGAACATGCATCTCAGAGCTCTAGGTTCAACATTGTCTTGCCTAATGTGAGCATAGGCTAAACAACCAAATACTCTCAATTTTTCGAGGTCCGGTGGTTAACCCGACCAAACTTCTTCAGGTGTCTTCATTCCCAAGACAATTGATGGATATCTATTTATCAGATAAGCTACTGTCGAAACAGCCTCTGCCCAAAACACCTTCTCCAATCCAACACTAACCAACATGCATCTAACCCTTTTAAGGATTGTTCAATTGAATCTCTTAGCTAAGCCATTTTGTTGAGGAGTACCTGCTACAGTCTTATACCTTGCAATCCCATACTCGACACAGTAACTGTCAAAAGCTTCATTGCAGAACTCGAGGCCATTGTCGGTTCTCAACCTCTTAACCTTTCTTCCAGTTTGAGTTTCAACCAGAACCTTCCAACTTTTGAAATTCTCAAAAGTTTCATCCTTAGTCTTCTGAATGAATATCCATAATTTTCTGGAATAGTCATCATCTATGGATAAAAAATATCTTGCACCTGAATATAAAGGATTCCTTGCAGGCCCCCAAAGATCAACATGAATGTAATCAAGAGATCCATGTGTTCTTTGTTTACCTTTGTTAAACTTTACCCTACAAGGTTTGTCAAATAAACAAGGTTCACAAAACTCCAACTTCTCGACTTTGTCACCACCTAGCAGGTTTTGTTTCCCAGTTCGACCAAGCCTTTTTTGTTGATGTGGCTCAATCTCATGTGCCATAATTTTGTCATCGACACAGGTTCGTGGATGCAAAATAATTTTTAATAGTAAAACAAAATTGGTTGATGAAATGTAAAACGTTGGTTAATAAGGTTATGAAGTTGATTAATTACATAATTTTATACCAATATCCCTTAGCAAAAAAAATATTAAAAAAAATATTTTTAAAATATTATATTATTATAATATTTCACTGTTTACCAAATTGGTGAACATTGAAATATGGTGTAGTGTAAAATTTTGGTGTAGGAATATCATTTTTCATCTTTTTATAATATTGTAAGAAAAATGATATGCATACACCACAATATACACATACACATGTTCACCAATAATAAATAAGTTTTTTTTTTTTTAAATATAAAAAATCTTATTTTTATTTATTTATTTTATTTTTAGATCAAAGAGAACTGATATAAAATTGTGTGATTAACCAACTTCATTACTTCATTAACCAACATTTTATATTTTCTTGACCAATTTTGTTTTACTACTAAATATTATTTTTAATATTTGTGCATTTATTAACCAATTTCATTACTTTATTAACCAACTTTTTACATTTCATTAACCAAATTTGTTCTATTACTAAAAATTATTTTTAATATCTATGCGTTTATTAACCAACTTTTTATATTTTATTAACCAACTTTGTTTTACTACTAAAAACATCGTTCATGCACTGTTCACGTTACTGTTCACTATTCATGTCACTATTTACCGTATTTGTTAACAGTGAATATAGACTAAGGTGTAACAGATGGTGTAGGAATAACATATTTGATGTTGTAATTTAGTTGTTTTTAAGTTAGACTAAAACCACATAGACTACCAAATTAAACAATCTTATAAATTATCGGAAGGGTTCTTCCAAAACTCTTTAAGAGATTTTTCGTAATGAAAGACTTCAATAGAAGTATTAAAACTAGTTTATAATCAAAAGTTTGAAAAGCAAAATGTATTTTATGAACTATAAAAAAAAGAAGTACACCTAACTCTAAAAAGGAGATGAAGGTATAAAAAAATTCAATAAATTTGTAGTTAAAAGATTATGCTTGATTTGTGATATTAGAAAGTAAAATCTCCATTTGATTTTGTGTTCATCATGAGAAAAACTCTTTGTTGGTTCTATACATTAGCAATGTAAAAGCTTATTTGATTCTTGAGATTTGTCTGGTGTGAAAGTTTTATTTGGTTCTAAAATTAGTTCGGTGTAAAATCTCTCGTTTGCTTTGTGGATTAGTCAATGTAAAATCTCATGTTTGATTGTAAGAAGATTATTGGACATAAGTGATGAAAATATATCATCTCATATAGTGGAAATTCTAAAGAAGAAATTCTTGAAGACAAGAGTAGGTCGAGTGCTTAGGTCTAACCTGTATAAATTGCTGGTGCATTTCTCTCTTTCCTTATCTCTTTATGTTTTTGCTCTTTATTTCTTTCCGTTGTATTTCAATCTCTTCATTTTTTTGTTCCGCTTACTTATTTCGTTGTTTTATCTTAGTTTAATTTATAAAATTTACTTAAATATTTTTATGAAATCAAGGTTTTTATAATTGCCTTAGAGCAACTTTAACGCATAGTTGTTAAATCAAAATTTTGTATAACTTACGTTAGTAATAAGAAATTTGCATTATAGTAGAGCTTGCCATGGCATATGAGATGCTCTAAAACTAGTTTACGTGCTATACACAAGCAACGTACACTAACTCATTATTTAACATAAATAATAGATTTTTATTAATTATTTAACATAAATAATAGATTTTTATTAACCATTTAATATCAAATTTGAATTCCTTATAAACAATCACCATTGAAGTACAAACTTCTTAATTCAATTTTGGATTGCTTAAATCCTTCATGTCGATTTGGACCCACGTAAAATAACTTAGTTCATCCAATTTAATTGCTCGCATTAAAGATGCTCTTATGAAAAGTTATAATGAAATTTTTTATTAAAGCTAATGATTTTAAAGTGTGAAACTTTTTTTTTATCAATAGTTCATTTATTCCCACTTATTATGTCAATAATAAAGTAGTGAATAAACCAAATATTTTATGGAATGAATAAGATAGATAAATTCAATCTCGAGTTTTAAATCTAAGTACTCGACGATTATTGCTATATGCAATAGATAGTATATTTGAGTTTATAACTTTAACTCGGCCAAAGAAATATGAGAGACTCTTGAAATGATCCACATGGATTTTTTTGAGATCAAACAAGAGAGAATGAACATACATATCAAAAAAGATGAGTCACCAAGCGAAAGTGAAGACCATCTTCATAGATGGTTCTCAAACATTGGAATCCTTAAAAGTTGTTTTTGAAAGTTTATATCTAACAAATATCGCAGTCTCAAAAATTAGTATTAGAAATCTAATCCAATACTCTATTTGAAGGATATAAAGGTTTGTGTTGAATTTCAGGAAAAATCTCAAAAGGAGGAAGTTTTTTTGAAACTCAAAGTGATAATTCAGCTTCTAGAAGATTAAGAAAATATTCAAAAACATTCAAAGAATCTTCATCCTCATAAAAACAACTACTTGAAGAAGTGATTGAAATGTCAACTCTACATATTTTGTTTGAAAGAACTATCACACAATAAATGAATGATTCATTGAAGAATCAACATCCGCAAGAATCTTTGAAGAATCAACATCTAAAAGAATATTTGAAAAATAAACATCGAAAAGAATCTTTGTATAGTTAACGAGAGATATTTTAAGAGACTCTTGCATAGATGTATTAAAAGATATATATATATATATATATATTATAGAATACGAGAAAAGAATTTGACAAAGAAGATCATGTTTGCTTCTAATCCATTAATGAAAAAGATGATAATGAGACACCAACTCTAATTAATAATGAGATTATTGTTTATGTATTATTCACGACCACTATTTATGGTCACTATTTACACATTATTCATGTAATTATGTAAGCATTGTTTACTGTTTATGTCCATATTCACCGTATTTAAAAACAATGACTATGATGTAATGTATAATAATAATGTAAAAGTAACAACGTTGTAAAAAAATTTATCAAACATATTTTGAACATGAAAATAACTTATCTGAATAGTCTATCTCATAATATGGATATAGATGTCTATGAAAATTGCTTACCAACTAAAAATTTACACTGTACTAAAAGAATCCATTTTAAAATATTAAAATTGAAAATTAATGAATCTGAAAAATTTGTGGGAGATGAATTGAGAATCACCTTACTTAAAATTCACTTGGATCACCAAATTTATCTGAGCCCACACATGGTTTATTTGTTTCAGTTTTTCTAAAAATGATTTTTAAACTATTATATATTTTTATTTAAGCAAATTTGAAAAAAATATCCAATGAAAAATTGGTTTAAAGGATTATTTTAGGTAGCTTATCATTTTTATAAAATTTTTTGAATAATAAAATTTTAAAAAATCATTTAAATTTGAAATTATTTCAAATATTTTTTCATAAAAATTAATTTTAAAATATTTTAAAAAAATTGTGATGTTAGACTATATTTTAATCTATTAAAAAAATTAAAAAAACTTTTAATATTCAAAAAGATATATTTATAAAAAAATTGTTTTATTCATTTTTAAATCTAAAACAAACATACCCATAATTCAAATGATTCACTTACATTTTAAAAAAATATAGAAGAATATGATAAAAATTGTATGTTTAAGAACGTGTTGGCCAAAAAATACGCTAACTCATATTAAAAGTTTATTATTTTTCAGTCAATTATTTTATTTACAAATTTAATTACTTCGGAAATGTCAAGCCGTTTAAAAACTTTAAAAAAAATCAATAAATTTTAAAATACAATTTTAAATTACTTATTTATTAATTTATAATTAGGTCCCTAAGTAAAAAATTAATAGGTCATTAAATTTTTTATGATGAGTAGGATAACTCAGTGACGCTTACAACGCACCACGTAAAAACGACCAATGAAAAATGGACAAACCAGACCTCTAAGCATATATGAGGATCCAAAATACGACATTACTTAGACGAATTAAAACGACATCGTTTCTAACACGAACAACAACCCCATTACAAATCTTGTTTATTTCATCGTTGAAAATTCACTCACACGTTTCATTTGTAAAATCTCAACCACCATGGCCTCCTTCAACACCATTTGGATTTTCTCTCTCGCTCTTCTCCTCGTCGCTTCTCCTTTCCTCCAAGGTTTGCTTCTCCGCATTCTAGATCTAGATCCGTTTCCACGCTTCATTCCTGCATGTTACGATTACTGTTCCGGCGACACAATTGCTTTCATTTTGCATGCCTTTTGAGCTTTGATCTGATTTGTAATTTATGATCTTAATTTCTTTTTGGCGTGGATGTTAGTTATGCATTTTTGGATGGAAACGTGATTGAGTTTTTGGATTATGTGTTATTTTATTTTTGTCCTATTGGATCTTGGAAATAACTGATTAATATGTTTTTATGGTTATGTGCATGATGATTATTGAATGTGGTTGTTGCTATTTGGTAGTTGTTAGGTGTCAGTCTGAATCAGGTGAAGCTGTGGAGACTACTGAAAGTGATATTGGCATTGTTGGTGATGATGCACAAGACTTTGATGGGGTTGGAACCTTTTCTGCTGCTCCGGGGATTGAAACAATAAGTGTATTTCCGAGAAATATTGCAAAATGTAAGAATCGATTTGTCTAGTTCACAAAATTGCAAAATGTGTTTTAATTTTGTTTTCTGTATTAGAAAACGAGTTGATTTTGTTTTTTTATGTGAATATGATGCAGTGGTTACAGCTGGAGAAGAGACCGAGCTGCTAGTTGGTGTTAAAAATGATGGTAATTCAATCAGATCCTATGAGTGTTGTAGTTTCATTCTTTTAAGTTTCTTAAATTTTTTACTGTTATTGTTTAGGATTCACATTTCATTCCATTCTTTGTATTACATTATTTTCTTACTGGTGTTTGAGGAGTGTGGGATCCAAGAGTAAAATCAGGGGCTCTTTCACTTGTTTAGCTGATTTTTTTTTTTTGGGCTGAAAACAGGCGAGTCCGACTTGAATGTTGTTGCAATCAAGGCCAGTATTCACCTTCCTGTCGATCATCATCTGCTTGTTCAGAATCTTACTGCTCAGGTAGAAATTGGTTACTGAAAATCCTAAATTAAACTTGGCTATTTTATTTGTGTAAAAATTTATTTTTCTCATATTATTTTAAATTGTTATTTATGCTTGTTACCTTTTGATCAATACTAAACTTCTAATGATCAAATTGATGAAAGCCATTTATACGAAAAGGAAATTTCAAATCCTGTTAGAAAGAGTGTGTACAAGTCTTGAATTTGAAGTATTTTTTGTTCTCTTGATAGACTAGGTTTTAGAATCACCCAATCTGATTCAGCAGATGACATTTAACATTTAATATAAAATATAAATGCAAGATTTTTTTTATGGCAGGTTTTCAACAATGGTTCTGTACCAGCCTCAGCGCAAGCTACTTTCCCATACATATTTGCAGTCAGTAAATTCTTGCAGGTATCACCATCACTTTGTATACAGCTTCTTTTAGTTTCTGAATGAGCAAAATTTAGAGTATTTATATACTTTTGATCTCATAATGGGTAATGATTTTTCTGTATGCAGCCTGGAAGTTTTGATCTTGTTGGCACTATTATCTATGAGATAGACGAGCATCCATACCAAAGCACCTTCTTTAATGGAACTATTGAAGTTGTTGAATCTGGTGGGTTTCTTAGCATCGAATCTGTTTTTCTTGTTACTCTTGGAGCTGCCCTCCTTGTCCTCTTGGGGCTTTGGATTCATGGTCAAGTACAAAACCTATCTAAGGTACTATAGTCTATATCTTTTCAGATAATGTGCTATTACTGGACCACCTTTGCATTTAGAATTTGCTAATTTTTTATTCGTTTGATTTATGAAAACTTTGTTTTTTCTGTATTCTCTTTACACAACTAAACTGCCCCCATAGTTTTCAATTTCTTCCCGATTTTCAAATATTTGTACAGGAACCAATGAAAACAATAGTAGTTGTACAGCAGTTGTTCTCTCAATGTTTTCACTGCAAACATTTGAAAACAGAAAAAGAAAATAGCTAATGTTTTATGATACCAATTACAAAGAGGCCCTGAATTTCTCCCCATTATTGGTCCTGGTTAATATTTTCTAATACCAATTACAAAGAGGCCTTAAACATTTGGAAACAGAAAATAGAGTGAAAAGATAAAACGAAAATAGCTAATGTTTTCTGACACCAATCGCAAAGAGGCCCTAAACATTTGTAAACAGAAAATAGAGTGAAAACATTAAACGAGGATAGCTAATGTTTTCTGATACCAATTACAAAGAGGCCCTAAATTTCTCACCTTTGATTTGGTCCTGGTTAACACTCCAGCTTTGTGCTCATTTCATGTGTTTGATTTGCTAACTACAACATAGAAGTTACTGATCCGTTCATACACATGTACAATAATTGATCCAAATTTCAATTTTAATTTAGAATTCAATATTTACTTGAACTTTGTGATATCCTCATGTTTGCTCATGAATATTTTTTGGTCAGAAATCAAAGAGAGCTCCGAAAGTTGAAGTTGGAACTAGGTCTATAGATGCTTCGACAGACGAATGGCTACAGGTATGTTCTTGTGATGCTGTATTACTATCTCTATACTTGTTGGATGTCATATCCATATTTTCCTGTTTAAACCTTTAACATAAACCAGACATTTGAAATGAAATCACTTTCTTTACCTTGTGTTGTGTCATCCAGGGAACTGCATATACTCAGTCTCTTTCCAGCAAATCAAAGAAGAAGAAGTAGATGAATAGTTTTCCTCAAGTTCTTCAGCCAAGCATGACTAGAGATGTAACACCATGTTAATTAGTTTGAGAGAGCGCGAGGAAATGTGGCTGATTGATGACAACCTGCCTTTTCTGCTGTAGCTTTAAAGAAATTGTACTTTTTTTCCCTTCCAATGAGTTTGAGCTTTTTCTAAGGAAAAACTAACAGGAATATGAGTTAGGAAGGATAGAACTTTTGAGAAGTGGCACAATTTTTGTTACATAATGTTCATTTTTATTTTGTTTTATTTGTCTTTCCGAGGATTCGGAACATCGGTTTCAGTGTGTTTTGTCATTCACTTGTTTGGTTTTTCTTACTGGGACCGGCTCTAGTTTATGGAAGTTGTTTACATGAGATTGACAAACAAAGGGGTCAAAGGCCAAAGTACAATAACCATGTGATCAAAGGGGTTAAAGGCCCTATTTTCCAAGTTGGATTTCAAAATGTTCAGATATCACTAGTATCTTTCAATATATAATAATGCACAGTTAAGACAAACTAGAGCTGATTCAACTATAGCTTCACGTGTTTTAAAATTTTACAAAACCATAGGGAGCAATTGATTAGAAAATTATGTTTTAGGTGAAGATCTAACGATATTGTTTGTCATGGTTTATTGTTTGAGCATGGCATGTTAAGAAAGAGTTGGTTTAAAATTTGAAATTTTTTTTTTATAGTATTCTATGTATTTTTTACTGTGCCATGTAAATTTTTAAAATTTTTTACAAATGTTTATTGATTTTGAAAATATATCTCTCTGGATACATTTAAAGTTTATGAATGTTGGAACATTTTAGAGAATAAGTTGCGTTAGATTCTTTTTCTCTTTCATTTCACTGTTTGTTTGCATACAACCTCAAACTCATCTCAAACTTTTCTCAATATACTTCAATTTTACAACATCAAATTTCACCAAACAAGGTTCAAAGGAACATCAAACATCATCAATGACATTATTCAACATCATTAAAATTATAAATTTCAGATAAATTTTTGAGTTTTCTTTCTCAATATACTTCAATTTTACAACATCAAATTTCACCAAACAAGGTTCAAAGGAACATCAAACATCATCAATGACATTATTCAACATCATTAAAATTATAAATTTCAGATAAATTTTCGAGTTTTCGGATAAATTTTGAGTTTTAGTGTAAATGTGTAGAAATCAATGATTAAGGTTAGAAATGTGTAGGAATCACATGTAACATAGTTTAGACTTAATGTATGACTTGTTTGTTGCCTCAAAATGGCAATCATATATTTTTTTCAACTTGCATGAGCCACCTTACGCCATTGTCGAAACCTCTGAGTTGCAGAACTTTCCGAAGATACATCTCCAGAATAGTTTAGCGTTTCATATACTTTGGGAATTTTCGGAGATGCATCTCTAGAACTTTTTAAGTTAATAGTTTTATGGTGTTTTCGGAGATGCATTTCTGAAATTGTTCAATGTTATTGTTTTATGGTGTTTCCGGAGATGCATCTCCGAAATTTCCTACAGTGTTTTTTTTTTTTAATTTTCTTGTTTGTGTGTTTTGTTTGCGTGCACTAATGATATGTCTTACTTTACCTTACAGGCATAATGGCTAACAAAGTCGACACACTGAGACATGGCAGGGTAGCTCAACACGCATCCGTTCGGAGGGAGCAGAGTCAGCAGGTTCTGAAGGTAGCAGGTACCTCTGGTCACACAGAGGCATCGACTTCTGGGGATCTTGCTTCACCTCAAGTCACTCCATCTTAGACCACTCCACATTCTTCTTCTTCCCGCAGGCGTCAGGATTCACCAGTGCCACCTTCTATGGACCCAGTGCCACCTCTCACTGATGATCCAGCTGATCCAATGCCACCTCCGAAGGGTGAGGCTGCTGCGGCTACCGAGCCAGAGGGTTTTGTAAGAGGTCCATCTGATTTGTCCTTACTTCCTCTATATCCATACCACACTGCTAGACATATCTGGGATGAAGAGGTAACATTAGTTGAATTTTTGATTTATTTTTTATGTTAATTTTAATTGTTGACATTGATTATTACTGACATTAATTATTTCTGGAAAATTTCAGATGAGTGATCCCTTGAAGTTTCTTAACCATGGGAGGAAGATTGTTGGCTTAGCTTAGCCGGATGAGGATTGATTTCAGTCGGTTCTGTCCTTATCTGGGCTGAAGGATCTATGCATGATCGGTTACACTCTGGTCAACCACGAGATGCTTAATGCACTCGTGGAGAGATGACACTCTGAGACATCTTCATTTCTTCTCCCGCATGTGAGATGTCTATCACACTAGACGATGTCTCATGTTTGTTACATCTTCCGATCAGGGGAAGATTCTCGATCATGGTAGGATGACCAAAGACGAGGCGAAAGTTGACGCCTCTGCCTGACCAGAGGCGATTGAGAAGGTGGATAGGACCAGGGGTGCTCATGCTAGATTTGATTTCCTGAAAGAGAGATATGATGATGAGATCCTTGCTCCATAGGAGGCTCATGGAGATGTTGAGCAGGTGGCGGTACACAAGACTCATGCTTTGAGAGCATTTTTTTTGTTGGCACTTGCATTTTTGTGGACACGAGTGCCACTTATATTGACGTTGTATACCTCTGGTACTTCTTGGATCTCACTCAGATCCATGAGTACAACTATGGGGCAGCTTTCCTGTGCTATCTTTATTCGAAATTGAGAAATGGATGTTGGTGGAAGATGAAACAGGTTATAGGAAGCGTGACACTACTGGTGGTAATAATTCTTGATCCTTGAATATTTTTTTTGTCAATTTCGTTTCATATTTGCGAAACCATTGCCGATGATTCTTGATCCTTGAATTTTTTTTCATTCCATACTTGGATCCTTAAGCATTTCCCATGCATTTCTGACTGGCGAATGTGGATGAGTACACCGAGGATATGCCGCGTGCCTGTGGTTTTATCTCACTGACAAGGAACCAGGCGGTCAAGCCTTTTTGAGTCTACCTTGACCGTTTGGTTGTTGAGAATGTGCACTTCAACAGCTACGTGGATCACCGTCAAACACAACCATTTGACGAGATATCGCTATACTCTGGATGCTTAGCCTGCAGATTGCGTATCACTGCTCCTCATCTGTTCGAGTGCATCATGTGGGAGTTTGGGTACACCCAGACCATTCTCAAACACCCTGTTGTCTACTCATGTCTTGACTCGTAGAAAAATAGATGAGATTTTTGTTGATTATGAGAGTCATCTGGTTCTGGAGGAGGCACATGCTACCATAACGTCGAAAGACTGGAGCTACGTAGACGGATAAATCAGATGGTTCTTCAGGGTATCACATATGTACATGTTGCAGACTGCTCCAGAAGATCCGTCGAGACCAGCTCATCAGAAGATACTAGAGAAGCAACATGCTCTGCTAGATCATACTGATGATGTCTTGCCTTTGTGTCGTTGCATAATGGAGATTGAGCAGGAACGCATTGCCGAGAGTATCTTCCCTAAGGGGTCTACTGTTAGGCGAGTCCAGAATGCCATGGTGGCGGAGACACTTGAGGCACTGTTGTACCAGAGACATCACTGGAGGACGGGTGAGGATTGATGGCCGAGGAGGCAGAGGATATGTTGTCAGGAACACCTAATAGTAGTCTGTTATTATCTTGTTGTATTACTATACTCTCTACTTTATTTTTACGGTTTTATCATATTTTGGATTTTGATTGTATGATATTTTCTATATATATTGTTATACTTCATCCAGTATTAGTCTCTTATTTTTTTGTACGTCTATTTTTGTTTATTTTGGATCGTGTGTTATACTTCAACTAAAAACAAATACACAACTTATAGTAAAGAAAAACTGTTCTGATACACTTCAGAGATGTATCTTCGGAAAATTATCGGATATGCATCTTCGAAACAATTCAAATATAAACGGTGTCTAAGTGACATGTTTTGAATATTTAAAATGGCTTCAGAGATGTATCTCTGAAATATGTCAACGTTTAATCAGAAATATGTGCGTCCAAAGATATATCTCCAGACTCAGGGGGCATATGTCGAATTTAACATGGTGCATAAGAAACATCTAGGATGCAATAAAAAATTCACTAAAATTTTGGGTGACGATGTATGAAATTATCTTTTATAGTTTGGAAGCATTTACTCTATTGTTGTTTCTATCTTTTCTGGTTCTACCTCTTATAAGAGGATCCACCACCTCCTAAACATGAGTGAGTTTCCATCTTTTATAAGAGGATTCCACATATTATTCAACTTCCCATCTTACGTTAGTTGAAGAAGTCGAGAGCAACAATGAGACTTGTGTTTCAAGACCACAAGATAGGCAAACATTGCATTTCTACTCTAAATCTTAAAATATTATATATCTGAGTCATCTCTCTTATAAATCTTAAAGATTTGGAAGTATCGGAAAAAATATGTTGTTCAAACTAGAATTTTGTATATAGTAAGTTTTACTTAGGTATCATCAATACATGAGGAAAAAATATTTCTTCATAAGATAAGGGTGACAGTGGGGCAAGACGGGGGGAGAGAGAGAGAGGAGGGTAATGCTTGAATATATATATATATATATATATATATATATATATATATATATATATATATATATATATATATATATATATATATATATATATATATATATATATATATATATATATATATATATATATATATATATATATATATATATATATATATATATATATAAGCATTACCCTCTTCTCCCTCTCTCCCCCCGTCTTGCCCCAATGTCACCCTTATCTTATGAAGAAATATTTTTTAATATATATATATATATATATATATATATATATATATATATATATATATATATATATATATATATATATATATATATATATATATATATATATATATATATATATATATATATATATATATATATATATATATATATATATATATATATATATATATATATATATATATATATATATATATATATATATATGCCAAA